AATTAATGACATAAAAGTAGATAGACAAAAAAATATATGACGAAATTGCGGTTTAAAATCGGACCAAACCGTTAGGTTTAGGGTTGAGTGTTTTTCAAACCATTCAAAATGGTTTGGTTTAGATTTAAGTTTTTCTCAAACCAGTTTAAACGGTTTGATTTGGACATCTGTCAAAAATTGGTAAAATCGGACCGCTTACACCCCTACTTCAACCATCATAAATATGTGTCATTCTTGTGGTATGAATTGATCAACACGTCTTAGTTTGTATACAAGTTGTAAGTAAATTATTTCGTGCTTTAGAAATTACAATTTAATTTTGTACTTGATAAAAAGCACTAATTTAATTTTATTTTTAAGGTAAATTAGTGCATTTCATTATTGTGTAATATCATGAACAACGAGCAAAAGAAAATTGAAATACAATCAAACAAAATAAAAAATGCTAACATCAAAAGAAGCAAGCAACACAAGCTCATGGAAGGCCGATTCCCATATTTGGGAATAAAACGACATGCTCAATAGCCCACGTTTGTAATAAATCAACAACATCCAACAAAAATAGGCTCGTGGTGAGCAAAATTGACTTTGGAATGACTCGTGCTCGTGGAAATTAAAATTCAGATTTTAATTGAAGTCAAAAGTAACAATTAATTTTAACCACATATTTCATAGAACCTACAGCTTTTCAACTACACATTTTATCAATTTTTATCAAAATCTACTAAAAATTTGATTTTAATCCCCACCTAACAAGAGCATCGTTTGCTAAAAATGTTTCCCAAAGATAGGCTGTTGTCTCAATTTATAAGTTACTTTTCTAGTACTCATGAGAAAAAGTTTTTATTTGAATTTTTTTTTTTTTTTTTGGCCTTTTCTATATAGACGCCTCCAAAAAATTTTATTGGTTAGCAGTTAGCACTTAATGAGTCACAATATGTTAGTGATAATTCTGAAAAACATGATATCTGAAATGCATGTTGGTAAAGTTTAAATTGCGATTTAAGTTGGTGTATATTTTTTAGTCATAAATTTCATAGAGATACCTTATTATCTACAAATTTTGCGAGACCCACAATTTATAATCGCTTAAAAACACTATTAAACATGCTTATAATTACTTCTTATATATGCAAATTTTTAAAATTTTTCCTAATTATTTGCTGGGGATTTTTTCATTAAGTCATTTGGTTTAATTCCTACGTTAAGAGCATAAGCTAGATGACGGAAGAGGAGTATATGTGTTTTTTATTAATGCTCTAGAAATTCATAAAATAAATTGTAATTTATTGTGTGGTATTCAAAGTGTAAATATTTTATATAAAATATAAGCTTATGTTATTTATTATGTGGTATTCAATGTGTATTTATTATGTCACTTTTTAAAACACATTTCAAGGAATTCCTATTTATTATCTATTTATCCATCACTCATTTCTATCAATTTATAATTTAAAATCGTTTACAAATAATTTCCAAAAATATTAAAAGGTGTCAATAGCTTTTATGTGGACCCAAAAAAAATGAGAAAATCTGATGAAATTTCTTATAGGGTTATGAGAAAAATTCATGTTACAACCAATTAAAGTCTTCAAATTATAAGTTACACTAGGGAAACAATGAAAATAACTCTTGGGATTTTATGATTTTTCATAGTATTTGGGTTTGCGGCTTGACTCCTCTAGGGTTAAGGATGCCTACTGCGTGCAGTTCATCTTTATCGGTGGCCGCCTCCTCCCTTGCTCTCAGGCTCATCTTCGAGGCTGGGGGGCCTGTTTTCTTCTCGTAAGTTTTTCTTCTGTAGGTTTTCTTCCTATGACCTACACGTGCAAATAGGGAGAATACTTTATGGAGGACATCCAGGCATTACTACGACAGTTTAATTTAACTGGGTCGGCTGGGAAAGTTGTGAAAGTATCGGATACTTTGGTGCAGCACGGTCGGAGTTTCTTAAAGCACGACATTGTTGGGAGGGTTCTTGGTGACAATCTCTTAAACGGGAAGCTTTTAGAACTGTTATGCAGACATTATGTGGAAAAACTAGTATGATCAAGATCCAGTTTATGGATCGAGATAAATTTTTCTGTGAATTTGAAAGCGAGACGGATAGAAGTAAGGTCATAAGAGGTGAACCCTAGTCTTTTGAAAGGAGGTTAATTGTACTTCAAGAAATAGACGAAACATCAGCTCCCAATGTTCATCCTTCTCATTCGGCTTTTTGGATTCAAGTGCATAATCTACCTTTCACCTTTGTGAACAGAGAAATCGCTGAGGTTGTTGGCTCCCATTTGGGAATATTCTTAGAAGTGGATACGAATTTGAGTGGATCATGTTGGGGTTCACACATGCGGATTAGGGCTAAGTTGAATGTATCCAAACCTTTGGTCGCAACGATGGACCTGCAATTAGGATCCATGGGGGGTACGGTGGAGGTTGAATTTAAATACAAAAGATTACCGGAATACTGTACGTGGTGCGGACATCTCGACCTGGATTTAAGTACTGCAATATGGATGTCCCTCCAGTATTAAAAAGTCAGGAGAACCATCCTTTTGGCCACCGAGTGCGAGCAGCAAACGGACAATGGAGAGATAACCGGATGGAGGATGGCACTGGAAGGAACAAGGCCAAAAATCCTGGTAGTGATAATAATAATGAAGAATGTTCTAAAAAATGGCGGAATCTAATTCAGAGGAATTGTTGGCTGCTGCTGGAGGCAATGATGAGCAACTGAATTTTGCACAATATAAAATGATGCAAACATCACTGACACGAATTCCTAACTCAACCAAATCATTTATCGCTGTTGGATCCAAGAATCCTATTTCGACTGGTAATTCTGTGGTAAATCCCGACATTCGTATTAATGTTGTCACGGATTTTAACTTAGAAGAAGACACAAATACCACAAAATCAAGCTGGAAGATGGGTAAAAGGCAAGAGTTAGGTTATAATGGAGATCATACGAAGGGAATAGATCCTACGCAAGTTTGTTCAGACATTGACCTTAATGGCAAAAGCACTGGAGACCATGGCTTGATGGCGAAAGACAAGGCTATTCGGATGCAGGAAAAGTGAGTCCGAATATGCATAAGAAGAAATGGAAACGAAATGCTAGGAGGGGACCAGGAATTTATTCACCTAGTAAATCTAAAACCAGCCCAACAAAGCGAAAATTAGCTGATGACAGGGTAGGCATTGCAACAGGTAAGAGGTTAAAAGTTGAAGTATTGGGGACGAAATCGATTGACGTAACGACAGTGGCTGAAGATCAGCCACGTCGGGAACAATGAGTCTACTATGGTGGAATGCTCGAGGTTTGGGGAGTCCTCGAGCATTCGCAAATTTGAGGCGACTTGTCCAGGACAGGAAGCCATCTCTCATCTTCCTTCTAGAGACTCGACTAGGAGGCTATAGAACTCAGGATTTTCACATCAAACTTGGTTTCAATGGTGGAATAAGTGTAGATAGTGTGGGCAACAGTGGTGGTTTAATGTTGATGTGGCAAGAGGAGTGGGAGGTCCAGCTTCTATCCTTCTCGAAATTCCATCTCCATTTTGTTGTTTCTTACAAACATGGACAAAAATGGAACATCGTTAATTTCTATGGAGATCCAGTTGCTTCGGAACGCCACAACTCTTCGACACTATTACGAAGACTGGTGGGGGGTTGTGCTCACCCGGCTGTATGCATAGGCGATTGTAATGAAATTTTGATGGCTAACAAGAAATGGGGAGGCAATAACTGTACTATATTTTCTATGGATGGTTTTAAGGATATGGTACATGAATGTGAATTGAGTGATCTTGGCTTCTCGGGTCCAGAATTCACGTGGGCTAAACACTCTCGTGCGGACAATAATATTCTGGTAAGACTTGACAGGCCCTGGCCACCTTCGATTGGCATAACATGTTCCCCACGGCTCTGGTTTCGCATCTCTACTTTTATGGTCCAGATCACCTTGCCATTGAACTCGTCCTACATTGAAATATTGGGGGAACTCCAATGCGGAGGAGGCAACGCCAATTCAAATTTGAGCCACTTTGGCTATGTAAGACGGGTTGCATAGACATTATACATGAATGATGGAGTATCGGATGCAATTCTCATGTGGGCAGTGTTGGAATTGAAGGACTATGGGAATCAGTAATCATGTATAGGACTAGAGACGAAAGTGGCGATAATGGAAGAATTGTTGACAGTAACTGCATTGACAATTTTGTTGGCAAAACAGCGGCCTGTAGGAATGTGCTCGTCCAGTAGGGTGAAAATATTAGGGAGGTCACGGCTAAAAATCAAGGCGATCCGCTCATAGTTGAAACACCTCAAGGAGGAAAAACTTTTTGGTGAAGACTTTTGAGAGACTCGGGCAGTGGAGGATGAATTGGAACTCTTGTTAAATAAGGAGGAACTTTATTGGAAACAAAGATCCCCGCGTGGATTGGTTACATCACGACGACTGCAATTCAAAGTTCTTCTACATGAAAGCATCAGCCCGGAAGGTTAATAACACTATGCATTGCTTATTTGATGACAATGGCAAATAGAGAACTGATAATGAGGGTATTGGAGATGTGGTGATGAACTATTTTAATATTTTATCCCAATCTTCCCAACCATCCCTGATGACATCGAGTATGTTATCCAGTCCGTGAACCCAGTAGTCTCAGATCAAATGAATGGAATACTTGGGGAAGCTTTTGCTGACAAAGAGGTGTGAGATGCCCTCTTTATGATGGCCCCTATAAGGCACTCGGGCCTGTTGGTTTTCACGCAATTTTCTATCAGAAGGCCTGGGAGGTGGTGGTTAAGGATGTGGTGAAGGTTTGTCTCGCGGTTTTGAATGGAGGAGAATCAATGGAAAAATTGAATCATACGAATGTAGTTCTTATTCCAAAAATCCAAAATCCGACCAATATACAGGAGTTCAGGCCTATTAGCCTATGCAATGTGATATATAAAGTCATTACAAAAACCATTGCGAATAGATTGAAGATCATTTTAGGATATGTGATTTCTGAAAATCAAAGTGCTTTCGTCCCGAGGAAACTCATTACTGATAATGTGATTGTTGTTCTTGAGATTATGCACTCCATCTCCCACAGAACCAAAGGGCATAATGGTATGATGGCGATGAAATTGGATATGTCAAAAACTTATGATAGAGTCGAGTGGGGTTTTCTTTCTGCCATAATGCTAAAAATGGGCTTTAATGAAGATTGGGTGGGGTTGATCATGAGATGTGTAACGTCTGCTACCTTTTCTTTCATGATTAATGGAGAATCCAGGGGATTTGTGCTTCCAAGCAGGGGCATGCAACGGGGGTGCCCTCTATCTCCCTCTCTTTTCTTGCTATGCGCTGAAGGGCTATCTTGCTTAATCTCCAAAGCAGCACTTATGGGTGATATTAAAGGAGTCTCATGCTCAAGGTATGGTCCTCGAATTAGCCACCTAATTTTTGCTGATGATTCGCTGGTTTGTTGTAGAACACTCATGATAGTCAGCATATACTGAACCTGCTACATTCATATGAAATGGCTTCGGGACAAAAAAATAAATCTGATGAAGTCGGATATCACTTTTAGCCAGTGTTCTAAAATGCGTAATGCGT